CGTATGATCCCCGAGCCTGGCTGTGTCGCCCGATCAGCCTCGTGGAGCGTGGCGGTGACAGAGAGGTCAGATGCGCGCCTCAAAGCTTTCCGTAGGCAGCTTGACATTCTCACCGCCGCCGAGGTGCGTCAAGTTATTTTATTTACATTTAGTTGAAAGTTATTTGGAATAATTGAATTGATTCAATAAATGTTTTTATGCAATTGTGAACAGGTGAACTGGCTGCCCTACGACCGCCGGCCACATGACATCGCGCCTAGGACCCTTTATAACGGATGCCTTAGGTACCGGGATATTGTGGAGCCGTACATGCCTCTGCGGTGGTTGCGTCAGTTGGGCTACGTGCAGACTGTCCCTCCCCGCATAGATCGTCCGCTCAAGGCAGTCCGTGCCTGGAACTCTAGGTTGTACAGGGTTGAGCATCCCATTACTACTGCAGCGGATCACTGGGACCAGTTCCCGCAGCTGCATTCTATAAACTTGACTCATTGTACTCCGACCACCGCAGATGATCCAGGGGAGGCCCATGAGCAGTACCAGCAATGGTACGATCAGTTTTCTCATCCTAGACTCTTGCCTGACAGTCTGCCGGACGACGAAGCCGTCCCTTCGCGCGCCAACACTGGTTATGTAAGTCGTTTACCAAATTTTAGTTATTGTGCTTTCATTAAAATAGTAAGTCGTTTTTTAATATATATGTGATAATATTTTTACTTGTGCTTTTATTTGTAGTGGGTGAATCGGTTATTCTCCGCATCATCAGACCTCCTGCGGGATTTAGAGGTTGTTGATCCTGCTGTGGCGGCGCGTCATGCAGATACGCTGGCCCTAATTAAGGCGGATTGGGAAAGGGCGCAGCGTTGATGTAATAAATATATATTTTTTATTTTATTTTGGATTTTGTTGTACGATGAATGTTATTTGAATTGTTTTTTTCTTTTCTTTTTTTTTTAACTGTTGTTGCTTCATTTTATTTTCATTTATTTCCAAATGTTATACCACAATCCAACTCAAAAATTCCATAATATCACGTGAAACGGTAAACACTGTCAAATATCACAATATATCTATCATAATGCAGAATAATATAATGAATGTCATCAATCGCAACAAACATAAGTCGAATATCATAATATATCAAACTCCAGTTCCTCTACGAATATGCCGTCAATACTCGATCCTTGTCTGATACTGATCATCCCATCCTGCAACCGTCGCATCTCGGAATGTCCGCCAAAGGTTACAAATAGGCGGTAATGGACAATCAGATGACAGATTCAGACGAATGAAGTGTTTGTAAGAACCAAGATGACCTATGGCGATCTCGCGGTCAGGTCTTGTAGCCGTGGATGGTGCGCACAACGGCAAAAATGTCATGCTATTGAAATCGATATTGTCATTTTTGTCACCACTGCCTAACAACACCACAAGTACATTATATACTGTAGCAACAGCAAAGAAGTCACCTACAACTTCCCTCCAATGCTGCTCGTTACAAGGCCCCCCTTCCCATCTTATCCGATCGATTGCTCTGTCGGTTTCATAGTAAAACACAGGATCGTACAACTGTCTGTTGGCTACAATCTCATTTGCAATGTTCCTTCTTACGGTTGGCCACCTCAACTGGTTCATGTGCATGTAA